CTTCCGGTGGACATAATATTACTCGAGACACTCTATTTGCCTCCATAAGAAACATTTAAAAAAGAAAAAAATAAAATTTTGCATATTTTTAAACTACTTCCGGTGGACAACGGACGTGACGGCAACAAAAACTTTATACAAAATTCAGTAGAGTCTGTCACAATCTATCAGTTTCAAGACTAAAAGTTTCAAGACTAAATCTCTAACCGTTTTTGAGAACACTTCCGGACAAAATGACACTTAAAAAAAAGAAAATTGGCCGTATCTCGCGACCGGAAGTGACGACGGCAAAAAAAAAAAACGCCCTAAGTTCATATGATTTGCCATCATTGCTGAAAGTTTCATGAAAATCTGTCGAGGCGTTCTCGAGAAATCGCCTGCACAAAATCGGTAAGAAAAAAAAAAAAATAATAGTGGAAAAGAAACAACAGAATCAGCAGAAGGTCTTCCGTTGGAAACGTAAGACCTTAAAAACACACATGATGCCTGTAATGTTCAACATATATTTTAATTTGCTTATAAAAAATTCAATGAGATATTCCTCCCAAAACTTCATCTTAGTTGAAATATTATTAAACCTGAATTTTTAAAATGTGAGCAGATAAATTAATATTTGACGTTATTTTGTTCTGTGTTTGAATGTGCCAAATATTTCCTCTAGGTGTTACATGTATTCGTTTAAATTTTGGGGCGTTTTAATTACATTTGTACATGACATTTTATTCAATTAATTTAGATGCAAAAAACGACAACAATAACTTTATTTCACCATACAATATACCGAGTAGGGACCTTCCTTAACAAAGAATATGTAAAAACAGAATAACTTCTTCAAACTGACTATACGTAAAATTTCAGTAAATCAAACCATAGTTTTTCCTTTTCCCTTCTCGTCTTAGCCACTGCTTTTCGGATCTTACAGTTTTCCGGTTCTGGTTTTGGTTTTTCTTTTAATTTGGGGGAAGGGGGTCCCTACTTCTCATCATAGTTATTTCCTTTGCTTTCTGTTTCAATGGACCTCCTTTCATAATTTCATTAGATTGGCATCAGCTGTTGGAAGCGTGCTTCCCTCTCCCTTGATTTGCTTTTCTCCATAATTAGTACTACAAGAAGCACAAGACACGTAGGAATATTTCCCTGGATTCAGTTCATGACCGTTAAAGGAGAGGAAGGGCCTAAAAACTGTATTATTCTACAAATTACTTTTTCAGTTACCTGTAATACCAATGAAATATCTTTAATTGCTAGCACACATCGATACAAGCTTTTATCAATTTACAAAACTCAGCTCATTCGTACATCTGTACGTCAATTCGATATATCCCTTTGACCTTGAAAGACACTTCAGTGTCTGACAGTTATGTTTTATATTTGGGTACTTACAACAAAATGACGTTAATGGCAAACAAACAACAATTAGATTATAAGATAAATGTAAACGCAACAATTTTTCTATCGTTAACATTTCCCTTAAATATTTGAGGAAAAAAGGTGCGAAGAACTATGATCAACGTACCTTAAAATTGACAAGCAAATAAAAAAATGTTCAAATCCAAAAATAAGTCTTAAAAATTTGATGGTGATTCAAACTTTCTTTCACAACCAAATCCTATTAAATTAATACATTACCATAAACAATGATTTCAGTACTGGCATACTATAACAAAACTTTAGTGGAGAGGGGAAACGCCATTCAAAGACCATTAGAAAAATAATGGAAGGGACAGTATCCCCTCCCCCTGATACAACGTACTGGTTATATGTTTTAAAATTGTTCTGATAAGGTGATTTGATACGACTATATTAATTCCATCGTTTCAATCATTAAAGCTTATCCGTGTCCGAGTTACGACACTCTGTTGGGTGAAATCAAGAGATCTTCTGACTACATTTAACCAAATGACACATTGACTGCCATCGGTGACAATTTCGTGGGGGAGAAATGGTACAGAATAAACAGTACTGTGGGTAACGACATCGTCTGGAGATGTCCAAATATCGTTAAACTTTACTTGCTTAGAATTAATGTACGAATGAATTCTCTTAGGATTGATTGATTAATTGTATATTGTTTAACGTCCCTCTCTAGAATTTTTCACTCATATGGAGACGCGACTACTTGTCGGTGGAGAGCTGAAAATTTTGTCCTATGCTTGCCACTCAGAGCCATTGAGCAGGGAGGGATCTTTTTCGTGCCAGCACCTACTGCGACACGGGACTTCGGTTTATACGGTCTCATCCCACAGTGGGATTCAAACCCGGGACGTAAGGATCAACTCCTTAATTCGCGACTCTAGAGCATACGCTCTAACCACTGCGCTACGCGGTTCTCTTATGAACGCTGCCTCTTGTTACTGAGGGTAAAGTGCATTGGATGGTATGTCAAATTGGTATTTCTAGATGTTGTGAGACTTCCCTTCCCATAATAATTCGTAATTGTAAGACATGTTACGTTTACTTTCTCAGAAAACTGTCTGGATGTCCTGTTTCTTACTGCTTTGTTGATTATTTGTTTCAAACAGTACAAGATGTGTACAATCTGCACAAAATTGTCTTATCAAATAGCCAAAATTTTATTGATACTTGTATATCATATATATGGCACGCCAAATTCACAAAACTGAGCAAATCATAGTTTCACAATCGATAAACTAGGTTTATCGGTTGTAATCTATAGTTTACGGACTGTAAACTATAGTTAACAACGTTAATCTATATTTTACATCTGTAAACTATAGTTAACGCGATAATCTATGTTTCACAACCGTAAACTATACTTAACACCGAAAACAATCATTTGCGATTGCAAAACATAGATTATCTGATAAATACAGTTTCACGATTTGTAAACTATAGTTTACAAACCGTTAACTATAGTTAACGATCTGATAAATATAGTTTCACGATTTGTGAAACTATGATTAACAACTCTTTACTATAGTTTACGATTGTAAACCATAGTTTACAAACGTGAATCTATGTTTCTCAACAAAATCTATTGTTAACGCTTATTTTAGACAGATAAACATATTAGCATTCGTAAACTATAGTTAACAACCGTTAAATATAGTTTTACAGATGAAAACTATACTTAACGAATCGTTAACTATAGTTTACGGTTTGTGAACTATAGTTTACAGTCGATAAACCTAGTTTATCAATTGTGAAACTAGGTTTAGCTCATTTTTGTGAATTTGGCGTGCCATACATATATACTTATGAGATTATGGAGAAAAAAGAAAGATCTGTAAAATGATTCGTTACATGTACGCAGCATCTAAATTTAAAACCCTTAACACTAGAATTAACGGTAAAAACAACAGATTTCTACACTTTAAAAAGTACTCTGTGACCTGGCTTGTTACGCGCCTTTGTGAAATCAGAGTTTTAAAAGAATGCATTTTATTTGAAAATAAGGCGTGATTTTATGCAGAATAGAAGAACATTTATTTTTAATTTCACTCTCCTTTGAGAAAATATAATACTTTAAAAAAATTCATTAAAAAAACTTTTATTTCTAATTAGTATTTTTATACCATCCACTCCCAAAACACACCATTCATCTAAAAGATCGAGTTTAACTTTGCAATTGCGCATTAATGAAAGTCTGGCCATGGATAAAATTAGTAAGGGCGTATTTACATGTAATAACATTGATAAGAAATTGAAAATTGTAAATTGTGTGGCTATGTAACTAAGAGAGGGCTAAAGCGATCAAAGGGAATAAAAATCTTTACATGGTGTCATAGTTAAAGTTAAATAGAGAGGGCCTTCATTAAAAATCATAACAGTGCTTAGTGCAATGCAGACTTTTTTTGGATTGGGAAAAAGTTTGTCATGAGTAATCCTTATTTTGTTAGAGTGTTGTTGGAGTTATAGCAGTAGTAGTCATATTGTCTATAATAGGCAATTTTATTTGGACTCGTTTGTATGCGATCATTCTCTCTGTTATACTCATTTAATTTAAAGGGGCATTGACACAGTTTCAACTGAATTTTTTTTACCAATTTAAATTTTTACAATTCATAACTAAGGCAATTCTAATGATCAGCAAAAATTTTAACATCATTTGTTAATTTACAAAGGAGATATAGGACTGAAAATCCTTAATAATGTAAACAAGGCTCGTGCTTTGTTTTGTTTACATTTAGAAAATATCATGTTTAAAACAAACGACATTCAGCAAACATCAGCAAACAAAAATGTCTGATTGTATTCAGAAGTAACTTCTTTATTGAAAAAATCTGCTTTGTCGAACACATATTAGAATGTTTAACCTATGAAAAAAATAAAACATGGCTCGGGCCTTGTTTACATAACAAAGGTTTGGAGCTCTAAATCTGTCTTGTAACTTGACAACTAAAATTCAAAAATTTGCTGATCATTAGGAATACCTTAGTTAAGTATTCGTAAACATAAAAAAGGGTATGAAAATTTTTGACTGAAACTGCATGTGTCCAAGCCCCTTTAAGAGATTCATATGTAAAAGAATGTACAATCTATTCTTGCACGTTTCGAAAAGTATAATTCTAAAATAATTCGGTTTAAATGTAAAACACTGAAGTATCTTTACTGCATCATAGCATTTTAATTGAATTATAAAAGATAAAAAGAACATAATATGTGAAGTACAAACTGAAATATTTCCGTAATTACATACCGGCTAAGTAGCAAGTTTGCTCTTTGGTTATTTACTTAAACAAGAACCTTATCATGTAGAACTGAGAATACAAGTTTGACTTTTCCTTATGTTTAATCTTTGTTGTGCAGCATATCATCCGATATTTATGTATTAGGACGCATTTGTTTGCATTCCCTCCTGTTTAACTTGACAAAAATTTCATAAATGATGCATAAGAGTACTTATTCATTTGGTCACATATATTAAAAAATCTAATGCAATTGTTTTGTTAAACACATTTTGATTGGATAATTTACCATTCTTTAAGTTACCATAGAGGGAAGTTGGTTGCATTTTTTAAACTTTATTCAGACGGAAGTCATTCAAGAGCAGTACCATAATATTGCGAAAAATCCGTCGACATGACTTCTCTAATTTCAGTGCTATCGTAGCCAAGCGCAGCCATTGTTGCCGTTATGGAGCCAACACTCGTACCGGCAAATCTTATTATCTTTTTCATAATGCCAACTTCCTCTAATGCCTGAGAGATATATAAATATAAATAATTGAAATTTAGAAATGAAATACAAGGCTTGTAATATTCCTGTATGGTATAATTCAAATATTAAGGTAGAAAATAAAAGTATTTTTATAGAAAATTGGTATTAAAATGGAGTTAAAAATATTGGAGATTTTTTGTCAGAAGATTGCAATTTTTTTTATCAAAATCTGCCTTCCAAGAAAAATTCAGTATTTCCAGTGTTGGCTTAATGCAATATAATAGTACTGTTTCTGCTATTTCTAAATTTATAAAGAATATGTCAATAGATAGAATGTATTTGAGAAAACATTGTCATCCAAATTTACCATTTTATTTTGAAAATATTTTTCACTATGAAAAATGTACAATGAGTTTACAACTATATAAACAAAAATGATATAATTCCTAGAGCAATTCTAAAGTAGAATCAATACTTTTCTCCCTTTGGATTGACAGATATTTGTATAAAAGATGTTTTTAAAGTTTGTATAAAGACTACTTCTGATTCTTCTGTACAGTGGTTACAATATAGAATTTTACATAGGATCCTCCCTGTAGATTCTTATCTTAAGAAAATCAATATAAAAACTTCTGATTTTTGTAAGTTTTATGCCCAAGAAACTGAAACTGTACTGCATGTATTTGTTCATTGTGACCATATTATATCTTTATGGAGGAACAACATATATACAGAACAATTTTTGCATTTAATTTAGAAATATATCTTAGGTGAAATACCACTTACTGAAGATAATAGAATTGAAAATTTTATGAAATTATACACAAAACAAGATATTTTTTCATGTTTATTACAACCAAAAATACCTTCATTTTTAGGTCACCTGAGTAAACTCAGGTGACCTATTGCTATCTGTTTTCGTCCGTCGTCGTGCGTCGTCCGTCGTGCGTTAACATTTGAACATTTTCAGCTTTTTTTCTGCAACCACTGAACCAATTTTAACCAAGTTTGACACAAAGCATTTATGGGTAAAGGGGAACAACAATTGTGAATTTAGGGCCAACCACTAAAATTAATATATAACATCAAAAAAATGATATAATTGAGTCTCTACCAAAATTGTGAAATTCATGGCCCTGGGGTCAATTACGGCGGGGCTAAATAAGTTTATAGTGAAAATGCATTATTTCTTTGAAAATCTTCTTCTCTGCTCCTGTGTATTAAATAAACCAACTAAGTGCATAGTTATAATGAGCAAGAGTGCTTTTACCAAAATTGTGAATTTTATGGCCCCAGGGTCAGGGGTTCTGGTGCTAGGGCGGGGCTTTATAGATTATATATTTAAAATACATGAATATCTTCTTCTCTTTGTATTAAATATAAAAGAGGGCTCTTTTGATTATATATTTCAAAGTTTGATATTAAATAAAACTAACTAAGTGCATAGTTATGATCTGAGTGTTAAATATTCATTTTAATTTTGCTGTTATTTTAATTTAATTCTGTATGTAATACAATGGATAATAAAAATATGCAAAAAAACATGAAATGATTGGGTTAAAAGAAATCTTGTATCATTATACTTGAACAAAAATACTTATGTCTTGTCATAAATTTTGAATTTACCGCATCTGGCTTAGAACATGAATCAAATTCAATAACTGGAAAGTTGTTGCACAGTAAAATTTAATATTGAAAGATGCATATCATCTGAAAATGAAAAAATTTGAAAGATGCATATCTTCAACAATTCAAATCTACATTATTTTATCAAAAAATTTCGCAAATTATGTGTCAGACTTTTGATTTTAGTTTGCATGATAGAGACATCGTTTCACTGCGTTTCTTGTGTTCCTAAATACAGTATATAACAGTAATACAATGGATTACATGATTGGGTTAAAAGAAATCTTGTGTCATTATACTTCATTTATGTGCTCATATACCACAAAAAGCAATTTAACATAAATGTCAAATATTTCACCTTCAATGCACCAGGATATGCAATTCCTTTTGCTCCACCTCCCTCGAAGATGAGATTTTCAAAAGGATACTGATCGAGGTATTCTTTGGGGTCGATGGTTTGTGCAAGCTTGTCGAAATCACTTAATTCTTAAATGATAAAAAATAGTAATCAAAGAAACATTCACATATCCTTTTCAGACACATAATTGTTTTAAAAATTATGTGTCTAGTTAAAACTTGATGATATGTTACATGTACATATATGTTTCCCTTTCTGTTACCTCCGTCAATTTCATCGAGTCCATCGGTCTCATCTTCGCTGTCACTGACCTCCCGTTGCAGGACCTCATCAATATATTCACTTTTGGGGTCGACCCTGACTTCATCACTTCCTTCTTTGGATACTTCTGTTCCCATTCTTGAAATAGAAATTTAAGAAGCCATACTTAAGCTGACCGTACAATCAAAGTAATTTGTGAATTGATTCAATTATTTCTCTGCGATAACTCTATCAATCAAGAGATGTTTTCCAAATCTAAAAAATCTGATGTATTATATTTTTGACACATGTATCATGTTTCAATTGCATTTTCAGTGCAATGTTGTAAATAAATTCATCGTAGTATCTTTTAATCTATATGTACAGAATGTTAAAACGGCACAAAATACTTTTGATAAGAAATACCTGAATCATTTACATTTGTTTTTGATATACTTTTCTTACAAAACTATCGATTGAGAAGTGACAAACTTACAATTACGAGGGTTGATCCAAAAGTAATGTCACAACTTTGATAAAATTGCTTTGAATCAACGTAAAACAACAAAATTATACATGATGAAAACTTTATTTATTTCAAATCAGATCTGAAAAATTCAAAGGAATATGATGTATACTTTCCAAAATATCGTATTTCAACTAAATTTTAAGTGTAATGGCTGCAAGTCATAAATACACCCGATTATGTAAATAATCTAAAGTACAATAAAATGACTATAATTGTTAAAGTGATAAAATCTAGTGTTTTAATACATAATAAATAAAAATGTTTTACACTTATCACTCATTATTTTCTCGCTCAAACTTAGAAATGATAAACTTTGTCGCTGATACATTTATGCAGAGACACTTTAAATGTATGTGAAATTTAAAATAATTTCGATTTCATAAAACATGTAATTTTTACTTACTTTGATGACGTACAAATATTAACTTTTTAAATACCGTTTCTAAAATGAAAATCGCTGCAAGAAAATATTTCAATTTCAAGCTTCGAATTCTTTTTGAGACTTTTTATATGAAATTATAAATTAAACAGTTTCCTTCCTGGTTAATAATCGGATATCCTTAAAAGGAAATTTTACCGATAACATGTTTTTTCTAGTGTTTTTCTTTCTGTCTAGGCTATGTTGGATATGTAATTGGCCTTTTAACGTAAATGTATGTACCTCATACTTGTAATAGCAATCAAAACGATAAAGCTATAAAAGGTTGGAATGGTGCATGACTAAACATTTTTAAAGTAATGAAATTAACAATTAATGTGGAATTCTAGACAAGATTAAAGGGAAAGATGCCAATCTAGATTATATTGACAAAATAGAAAACGATACATGTAGCATTCTTACATCAAGTGCATAAGAAACATTTGGGATAAAAAATAAAAACAAAGAAAGATTAAAAAATTTTCACAAACAAAATGTTACAACACAAGACTGAGGCTAAAAATCAGAGATTTAGAAATAATAATATGTATAGTAAAGAAAAAAATATTTAAAAAGTGTTGAAAATATGTGTAAATTACCATAAAAATCAAACAAAAGAAAAACTGGGGGGAAAACTTGGATCAACAAATCCGAAAGAATACTGGGAAATAATTAAAACCAGGGCAAAAAAAAAATTAAAAGAAATATACGGAAATATGCTGAAGAATTATATGAATTTGCTTTTAAAGATTTGAATACAGAAAAAGATAATGATAATAAAATACATATACCTGACTATGTTTTATCAAATAGGGATCTAGATACTCTCTTTAATTTACATGTACAGTGTAATGAGTCTATAACTGAACCAGTGACTTGTGATGAAATAATGCAAAGTATAAAAAGTCTTAAAAGAAACAAATCATATGGAAGTGATGACATATACAATGAAAATATTAAAATTTCATGCAACATATTGGTACCCCTCTATCAAAAAATATTCAACAAAATTTTTAACAATGGTTGTTTACACTCCGAGTGATTCTGTCGTTATGTTTTAATATTTAAATGCGCATAAAAAGAAGTTAAAGAGGCTATGTTAAAATATATCTTTCTTTGTGTCTCTGGGATAAGAGCTGACGTTTTATTAGCCGACATGATTTCATCAGTTCCTTGTTTAGCCTTCTGTTAACTGTGCTTCTGCTGATTCGAGCATTGGTTTTGCATTTGCTTCTCAGCGTGTATGCAGTGCCAAAAAGACTATAATACTTAGCTAGTCGTTTTGGAAATCTATCTTCCCTTTCTGTAGTCTTTCGGGGTCTTTCAGATCTTTTAGCTTCTTTCACACCCCAGTTCTTCTTCAGCGATGCACCAGATTAAAAATTACAGTGTGACTGATATTGAAGTTTTCCCGACCCTTCTATACTTTACTCCAGTACTTATAGCTCTTATGCCCTGTCGGCGATCAACATCCAATGGTTTTTATAGAGGCATGATTGCAAGAGCTTAAATCATTTTTCCCTTAGTAAAGCTCATGCATGCAAACATGGATCTAAACACAATTGAAAGCTGGCTTATTGGAACTCTCATCGGTGGCCTCGAAGAAACCGATTTTAATACAAATATTTGAATGGAGATATCGTGGTAACATATGACAACAAATAATAAAAAAAAAACCCTTTTGATTGGCTGGTAAATCTGAATATATTCAATTAAAAATATTCAATTGTTCACTTTCAATCTTCATATCAAAGTCGGTGGTCCTGAATGTTTGAGGAAGTTTAGATATCAATCATTTTCCCTCCAAAATAACGTCAATGCAAAATAAAACCGCGGATGAGATACATCAGTTTCCGGTTGGGGTTATAGATGTAGGATGTGTAGACGCAAAACCAGAGACTTCAGAATGGAATTCTCGGAAGTCTCTGGTTTTATCCTACCCCCAACCGGAAGTTGTATTTCATCTTAAGATGTATTGACGTATTCACGTAATTTTCGTGGAATAATGAGTGGTTAACAATAAAAAGGCTCGACCAAAGACGTCTGTAGCTATATAGACGATAAAAAACGTCCCTCAAAGCGACCGGTTTCATTTTAAAGTAGGTTAATGATTAATATATTAACAAAATACAAGCTTGAAGCGGATGTGTCTGAAATCGAGTCAGGTACATTGTGGTAAAAATAAGTAGGGGTGACATGTACACAAAACAAGTGCATGTGTATATTTTTTTTCTGTTAAGTCTCACAAACAACTGTTCAATAAAATCCATCAATATTTTGGAAAAAAGAAATGCTATATTTCATTCTTTTTTTTTAATTCAATTACCAGATATATCTTCATTTTTCTACCAGTGTAAGAGTAGGAAACAGTTGAAACGAAACATTTTAAATGAAAAGAAGTCTCCGGTACACTATATAAGTCACGAACAATTAAAATCAGTTTTCAATTTGCTAAAAATGTTTGACAAATCTTACCTTATCAAAATTAATTTTTAGTGCTTACCTTTATTTGATTTTCAGTGCAAAAAGGTTAAATAAAACTAACTTGTTTTTTACTACATTTACACTTAAGAGAGGCCAGGAAACTCAAAGGATAATAAAGTAATGCTTTAGATAAAGCATTATCTAATCTACTCATACTAGGACCTATTATGGTAACATTTCATTAGAGTTAGGTCATGTTGACCCTGATTTTTAGCTCAACTGAGGCGAATGCTATTGGGATATTTTATGTTTTGCGCTTGTGCACAGCTATGTTTCACTGATTCTGTTATCAGATATCTGATGCAACATATTGAAAGCGACAAATGAAGACCTTTAAGAAAATTCAATTTAGAACAAATAAATTTCAAATGGCACCAGCTGTTGGAGAGATAATCAACAGTATAGTTAAAACATAAAATTCCCCGTACATTCCTGCGAAAATTTTAAAATGTTAAACATGTATTTAAATGGTTTCAATAAAAATTATTGGTTACCGGGGTAATAACAGTAATTTCATTTGAATAATACACGTATAAGAAGTTTTTCTCATTACTGAAAAGGTTCTGATGGTTGTGGTAATGTCTACTACGTGTAAACCGTGCATTTCATCATATTCTTAAATTGATTTTCCGAGCAGTAATGTTTGTTTTAGAGAAAAAAATTTACTTTTTCAATATATTCTATACGCTGGAAAGAGAATTTGCCATTTCCTTCTAGCGTATAGAATATATTGGAAAAAAGTAATTGCTTCTGCTTTAAAAATAATAATTTGTTGAAATTTTATCTGTAAGAAAAACAAGTGGTCAAATGCAATTATTTTTAACAGGAACAAGTGTCTGCTAAACAAAACTCTTGACCAAATCACTTTCAAATAATTTATCTTCATAAGCACTCATAATGTAAAAAGAAATATTTTATAAAAGATTTGAACTACTGTGAAATCACAAATTTTCGTGGGGGTTTAATTTTCGTTGTTTTCGAGGAATGAAGAGATTCACGAATTTATGTCCACACGAAATGTTAAATTTTAAATACATAACTACTCTACAACTCTTCATCCACTTATTCAAATCCCCACGAAGCAAGAGTTATTACTCAAACCACGAAAATTTGACCCCACAAAAATATTTGATTTTACAGTATGATATACATTGTACACACGTCGTGTAAATAAAATGCCTATATTGATATTCAAACAATAGAATTGATGATTCATAAACGATAGACATCTCATTCATTTAGAATTATTATTAATTTTAAACATCTAGTCTATATCTAATCCAAATTGTTTCCAGAAAAGGAAAATTCATATATATTCCTATACAAAAATTTGATTTTTTGTTATGTCCCCGCTCTACCTTTGGGGTAGTATGAACAAACTTGATTCTACAATATTCAATTTTTTATTTTTCCGACCAACAGGTGAAACCGGAGGGAACTTTAGCTTTCCTCTCCTCTGTCTGAGTATAGCCCTCGACCATCTACCTGTCTGTCCCTCTGTCATTCTGTTACACTTCGTTTTTGGCATTTTTTTTTTCTAAATTCATCCAAATATAGAACTAATTTTTAGTATGTGGGTGTATCTTGATGAGTTAAGAAATTAAGTTTGCATTTCCTTCTGCTTAACATTTCAATTTTGCCTAACATTTCAATTTTAAGGGTTTCCCACATCTTTTTTCTAAACGTTTGCAGATATAGGGATGATTTTTAGTATGTGAGTGTATCTTTACAATTTTCAGTATTTTTCATTTTTTTTTAATGGTTGCAGGTATTGAGGTAAATTTTTGCATGTGACTTTAACTTTATGAGTATGACTTTATATAGGAAAAATAGGACTTCATTTTGGTCCGCTTTATTTTTTCTGTACACAATTATAGCATTTTCAATTTGTTCTCGGGACTAAGTTCACATTTGCCGTTAAGGACTTGCTTATGCAATACTCTCAGAATGCTTGTTCATATTCAAGTTTATGCTGGTGTAAATCTTATAATCACTTATTTAGTTATCAGATAATATCTGTTTGAACATACTAATAAAAACAAATGAAAACCTTGAGAATATCACAAGAAAAAATAACATTGTTAGACAAATAGCTTTTCTTGCCAAAAGAAATCGAATGGCATCAGCAGTGGAACAGGGAATTAATAGTAACAAGAGGCACACATTGTAATAATATTTAAAAAAACCTTAAAAAAAACTTTTGATGTGAATACTTGCAAAGGATGACTGCACTTAAGGAAACTTAGAAATTGCGACATAATTAATTTTTAAAATGGGCATATTTCTTTTATTGGTAGAAATGGCCAATGTCTTAACTGCAACTTTGTGTAATTACGTTAATTAAAAGTTCGTATTAATGAAGTTCGAAGTCGTTTTTATAGGGAGAGGTCATCGCATATTCTGGAATCTCCATGGGATAATGAGTACGCCCACCTTTTTACAGGCTTAATACATAGTCAGCGCATGTTTGTCTATTGTTCTCCTTTTAATGGTAGTTGTATATTTATATATATTACCTCATATTAAAAGGAGATCAATAGACAAACATGCGCTCATGGTTAAAAAGAGAAAAAACTGTTTCTTCATGTGTTCACTTTCTCTATAGTAAACAGGCCATTTTGACCACGTTGTTACCTGTTGAATATTATAATTAACCACGTGATTTTTATACCTAGGTAACTCTGTGAATACTAAAATTCCATCACTTGACAAGTAAGGAAACACGCATTCTGCTGGGCGATAGTGATTGTCCATATCTTTTCAATCCATTCCCATCGAGCCACGGGCTATTCTTTTTTCTCTTAGATATCTATAAGATTATTCTTATATTTATATCAAAAGCGTTTCATTTTACAATATTTATATATTTTCGAGTGTATTTTATGTCTCTGTTCGTAGTCTACAAGAAAAAAGAGATTTATTTATTATGTTTTAAACCATCGCTTATCATGAACATCCAAATTAAGATCCAGTAAATAAAAATGAAATCATAACATCCCCAGCAGGCTAATTTATGGGGAGAAGAAATTAAGAAAAACTTAAGTAATTTTTTCTTTCTTTTTTTATTAAAAGGGAAAAATAAAACAAGTCTTAATGTTGTTAGCGGGTCTCGATCCCAGACCTCAATATTATTGATTCTGTGCATTACCGACTGAGCTAGTCGGCACTTATATTCGAACACGCGAATTGTTGACATCAGCCATTGCTGTTGATTATCAATGGCTACTTCTACCGGTCGATGTTATTTGTTATTACAGTTGTTATATACTTTATTTGAAAACTTAAAAAACAATAGTGTCAAACATATGCGGAGAGAGAGAGAGAGAGAGAGAGAGAGAGAGAGAGAGTGCACCAAATATAAATACAGTAACTATTCTAATTTTAGACTACTCTTCACAACATTAGCTCCGCCTCTTATGCATATTTATAAATCTTATCTCCAATCAAGGGCAGATAAGTCTAATTTCCCGATATTTGCAGAGAGGTGGGGTAAAAAAAACAACGAATTATTTTATTGCAACGCAGTTTATAACCTTTATGACATTGCCTTTCATTTGGAAATAGACCAAACTCTATCAAAAATGACAAAAGGCAAAAATAAAAACAAAAATAAATGTGAGAACAGAGATTGAAAACGACCCAAAAACCGGCGTAAAGTGCAGTCATCCTTTTATCTATACCTTTTCAGTTTAACATTATAGGTTCATACTTATAACCGTTTTCACATAATAATTATATTGGAAGTATATTAGAATTAGAATTTTTTCGTTACAGAACAGATTCTGAGGGCCGTAGAAAATTCTACTTTACCTCTTAATCATATTTTAAATTGATTTTGCTGTGGTAATGTCTTTTGTGTTATTAACAAAAAAAATCATTACTGTTACTTCGATATATTCCATACACTGGAAAAGATAATGTGCTTTGAAAATAATTGCTCGAAATTCTATCTTTTGGGAAAAAAAAATTGGTCAAATTTGATTAGTTTACAATTGAAACAATAATGCTCAGCTATAACCAAATCACTCAACTATAACCAAATCACTGTCAAATATTTAATCTAAATTAGTATTTCTAGTGTAAACAGAAATATACGGCAAACGGTTTAAACAATTATACATACTGTACATATGACTCGCTAAATGTCTTTGTTGATATTTAAATAACAGAAATGATGATTCATGAATGATCAATACATGTTGTCTATCTAGAATCACAATTAAATAAACCTTTGGTCTATATTCAGCCCAAAGAATTCCAGAAAAGGAAGTAATAAAATAATCTAATAATATGTCCAATAAATGTAAAATCCAAGTTTCAGTATGTTTACATGGATTTTCTCTGGATTGAATTTGTGAGCCTTTGCCTAACAGCTTTCTATACAGCTGTATTCTGTAAGTAACGCGTTAGTGAATTTGAAAAGCAAAAAAACTAAATTCCAAAAGTTGAGGTCCTACATCGTAATGTAAGGAATGATTCAGACTTTATTTAACACCTAAAGCCTATTATCAGATTAATACTTAACCAAATTAAAATAAGTTAACAATATACTTTTGAAAGAAGCAATGACTTTTACACTTGAAGGTTTGCTTTGACATTTAAATCCTGTATTAGGTACGGGATACAGAATTGATATAAGATAAGAAAACATTTCTAGTGGTTATAGGTATGGTGTTGGGGCACTACTCTTTGAAGACTGAGAGTTAAGGGTAAGGTGGTAGAAGTTTTCTTCAAAGGGACCTAACTTGTGCTTTAAAATAACATTTTTTCGTTTAATTTAAAAATGTTGAGCTAAATATTGATATTTTAAAGGAGTTTCCGTTCATTGTCCCAGTATAAAAGTAAGCTCTCAACTGTATAACTCCGCGCTCCTTGCTAAAGTCCAATAAGTGTGTTTGTTTGTAAGTTGTTTAACGTTCCTCTTGAGAAATTTTCACTTATATGTCCCAATAGCCGTTGGCTAGCTGCTACACTCGACAATAGTGGACATTGAGCAGGAATGGATCTTTTTTCGTGCAAGCAACTTCTGCGACACTGGACCTCCGTTTATACGGTCTCATCCGAGGAAACAGTCTTTACGTCCCACAGCTGGATTCCAATATTACATGTCTATGTTGATATGTCTACATTATTACAATAAAAATGGGAAGGGGAAACCAGCCATTCAAAGACAATTCCTAATAGTAACTAAGTTAGAAGTGCATTGAGAAAGTGGTGACAGTCCACTATACTACACTCTTCTCCGTTATACATGTATATTTTTTCATTGTTTTGTTATGGAGATTTGATACATACATCAATTAACGCCATCGTTTTAATCATAAAAGCTAATCCGTGTACGAATTACGTCACTCTGTCGGGTGAAGTCAAGAGATCTTCTGCCTACATTCTACCAAATGCCTCAGCGACTGCCATCTGTGACACTTTCCTAGAGGAGAAATGGTACAGAATAAACAGCACAGTGGGTAACGATATCGTACAGACATGTCAAAGTATGACCCACTGTGGCACAATGTTCCCGTTATGGATGAATGGTAAGATAATTCATGTAAGAATTAATAATTGCATTTTTTTTATGGTGTAGTAATCATGGCTTATAATATTTTAAAGGCAAGTTTTAGTGAATTAAGTTAAACAGAACGTAATTCAAATGTGAATCAAAATAGACGTTAAATATCGCTTATTAACATGCACAATTAATGCACGATTGAATTCAATCAGGAACGTTGCCTCTTGTTTCTGACGGTGAAGTGGATCGGATGGTATGTCAAAGTGGTATTCTTGGATGTTGTGAGATTTCACTTACCATAAAAGTGCGTAATTGTGGGACATTTTACGTTTACTTTCTCAGAAAACCTTCTGGATGTCCTGTATCTTATTGTTTTGGTAATTATGCAATTACCCAGTAAATAAGAACGATTCTTCATAAATCCACCCTCTTTGAATTATTAACACATTTAAAGAGAAATACGAAATCGATTTTTAAAACTCTACTCTTTACAGGTACACATCCTATAAACTCAACAGATGAAACAATTATACAAACAACAGATGAAACAACTATACAAACAACAGATGCCTATACTACTGGTAATCAAAAAATTGAAATACACTTATTAAATCATTTATGAAAATATTCATCAATTGACAGCTTCTGTCATTTTTTCTTTATAAGAATGCATAATGATATTGAAAAATCAGAATTCAATGTTTGATAGTAGCTTTTTCCATCATTTAGATATTTAACTTGAATAACTGTAGAAAAAAAAAGAATGAAAAAATCATTGTCTTACATTTCTGTGAGTGTTTTTTCTTCAAACAGATTTTATACAATCGACAACAAAACCGAACGAGTCATCCATAAGCATTGCAAAAGGTAAGTGTTCATAGTGTTTCATTAATTGAGTGTTATGAATTTCAGCTAAAAGACAGAGGTGGCAACTCGAGGGTACTAGTATTAATTATATGATACAGTATTTAGAAGGTACACATGAGTAATGAAACAATATGAATTGTATTAAGAATTAAACAGCTTTAATTTATTTTTGGCTTAAGTCAATTCTTTTGTCTGAATATCATTTTTTAGATGTTGATTCTGGCAGTAATTATGTCGAGATTGTCTTTATTGTACTTGGAGTTGTGTTGGGAGTCCGCTTGCCTGTCATCGTTATAGTGTTTTATATCTGGAATCGTCAGTAAGTCATTGATTTTTTTTACTTATTTACAACAAGTTTGTTATAGTGGCCGTACATTATTGTACTAAGTCTTGTATATTTCTACATATTTTTTTTTAACAATCTTCAACTTAATATCGTATCATCAACAATACACAGGTACAAATGACATCGTTTTTTTTAATTCCGTTTTTAAATGTAAAATTTGATTTTTTAAAATGTGATAGATTTTCAAGTCAGATACCGAAAAACAAAAATGTATTTCCATACTTTGTAAAAAATTAAATTAAATTAGATTGAAATTAAATTAATTAATTAGTATAGTGTTTTACCGTTTTGGATTAGTTAATTTAAGCGCAGTAAATGCGACCTTTTTCGACCTGTTTTGAAATAAGGAAAAAAAATCTACGACAAAAAAGTATTAATGCTTGAAGTTTCAATACCATTTCCTTCAATACGTTTCTTCCCTTCAAATGACAAAATATACACTTAAGAATTTTGCATTGTGTTTTTCATTCAGAAAAAAGCAGTCGAGGGTTGATTCATTACACAATAATCACTCAAATGAAGGAGAAAACTACTTGCCATCTGAAAATGCTTACCAAACATCAGATATGAACACCAATGAAGATGAAAACTACTTATTTGCTCCTGAAAATGTTTTAAGAACACCGGAGAATCCAGATCTGCCTCGAGAGGAAATAGCCCTATCAATGGTTGATGTCTCCAGTAGCATATTAAATTTACCTAAATGCATTGAGCCCAGGAAACAAAGAATTCGGAAATCAATATTAAGAATAGAATCTGTAAATGAAAATACCATTTCCATTAACCAAGTAAATTCTAAATAAATGAATTCATGTGTGAGATTTGTTTCGTTTCTCATGACTTCTTTTATCGCATATATACTTTGTATCAATCCGTCGGTGTAGAAGAACAGACTCTTTGCAATTCAGACTACTGTTTTTGCTTACAAAATTTAAAAATGTTTGATGAATGTTTCAACTCATTCTGAAATTCACCATTTGAAGGCTTAAAAAATAAAAAGGTCTAGAGAATCAGTGAAACTCTTAGATGAAGTATTACAGTATACAATTAAACTTTATAAAATTAATTCCTGAAAACAAAATGACCCTTGATAATTAAAGACTAACTTTGCTTAAATATTTTGAAAACTTCAGTAGCTTATATTTTTCATCTGCTCTCTACTCTTTATTTAAAGCCAACTGTCAAAATTCTATCAGCAAAAACAGCAATCCTCTGACATAATTTTCTCCCCATTTTTTAAATTCTATCAAACATAAAAAAGGAAAGTTTTTATTTAAAATGCTAAAAACAATTAGGCTGATCCGAAATGCTATGATTAAAAAAAGGATAAAGAAAGAATAAACATTTTAAATAAATAATTGAACCTTAATTGTATATAATTAGCATAATAAGTTTAGCAATTAAAGATTTTTAACATATCATATAGCAAACATTAGACCCATAATTTAGAAAGAAGTTGAAATGTGAGATTGTCTTCACATCACAAACAAAAGGCATTTTTTTTCTCGAAAATCTTGCACTGTTTCGTAAAAAAGCATTAAACTGATAACGGATACGCTTTGTGAAAGCACATTGAATTTCAATATCTGCATGGCCTCCATTCGCAGCAAAAACAGGAAAACAAGGCCCCTCATCCTCCTTACATGGTTTCGTGTCTCAAGCATGGTGATCTGGTTCCAACCACGCTTCACGGCAAGGGTCATATCCGCTACGTTAATTACTAACGTTCTGTAGTTGTTTTAAACGAAAACCAAGAATGTCTCAAACGTGGTAAAAAGTGACAAATGTGGAGATCAAGCAGTACAATTCAAGATCTCAACAGTATTATGATGAAGGACATCTTGTGTAATTCGTGCATCGTGCGGAAAGGTATTGTCTTGCTGGAAAATGCTCGCATTTCCTCGGCGCAAGAAGAGAATATCATTGACGACGATATCGTCACAGTATCTCCACAAATTTCATGTATTTATTGTCACAAGGTCACTTTAAATAACACTGTTGGATTATTCCACACCAAACCATTACACATCCGCCACCATAACGGTCACCTTGGATGGTTTTTCCAGGTTGTATTTTTCATTTCTGCGTCTCAAAAATATAAATTTTCCCATCTTCAAAATCGACGTTAAAATATGATTTACAGTGTATCTGTCAACAATATTTCGTAACATTTTCGTTGATTCAACGACGACCACTGTTGATCATGCGAGACATAATTGAAATGTTGATAAAATTGAGATAGTGTGCTGCTTTGAGAGGTCTTTGAGCTCAAACATTTGATATACGTACATGTAGCCTGTTTTCTAAACTTTGTCCGCAACTGAAGAAACAGTCATAAAACGATTACGTCCCGACGTTGTTAGAATAAAACGATCTTGTCTAACCGTCGTTTATCGTGGATATCATGAGCTCTGCCAATCACTAAGGTATTCAGTGGTCCGGAATCGGTTCGAAAGTCGATATTTGGTGGACAGATGCAAGTAAAAGTGTTCAGTGGCATCAAGTTAAAAAAGAAGTTTGTTGCCCTTATATCTATATTTTTAACTAAAAACATAACAAAATACATGTAGTTAAAACATAAAATTCCCCGTACATTCCCTCGAAAATTTTAAAATGTTTAACATGTATTTAAATGGTTTCAATAAAAATTATTGGTTACCGGGGTAATAACAGTAATTTCATTTGAATAATACACGTATAAGAAGTTTTTCTCAGAATTCAGGGGGATTTCTCATTACTGAAAAGGTTCTGATGGTTGTGGTAATGTCTACTACGTGTAAACCGTACATTTCATCATATTCTTAAATTGATTTTCCGAGCAGTAATGTTTGTTTTAGCAAAAAAATTACTTTTTCAATATACTCTATACACTGGAAAGAGAATTTGCCATTTCCTTCTAGCGTATAGAATAAATTGGAAAAAAGTAATTGCTTCTGCTTTAAAAATAATAATTTGTTGAAATTTTATCTGTAAGAAAAACAAATGGTCAAATGCAATTATTTTTTACAGGAACAAGTATCTGCTTAACAAAACTCTTAACCAAATCACTTTCAAATCATTTATCTTCATAAGTACTCAAAATGTAAAAAGAAATATTTTACAAAAGATTTGAACTAGTGTGAAATCACAAATTTTCGTTGTTTTCGAGGTATGAAGAGACCCACGAATTCATGTCCACCACGAAATGTTAAATTTTAAATACATAACTACTCTACAACTCTTCATCCACTTATTCAAATCCCCACGAAGCAAGAGTTTTTACTCAAACCACGGAAATTTGACCCCACGAAAATATTTGATTTTACAGTATGATATACATTGTACACACGTCTTGCAAATACGAGGGGTGATCAAAAAGTTTGCGAACTAATTGAATAACTTTCAAGAAATGATATAGGGATTCAGTTGTTGAAAATTTTTCAAAGTAGTCCTCTCTGATTTTAAGGCGCATCTGCAACCATTCTGTCCATGCGCGGATTACGTGATATAGGCGGTCATGCGTCTTGGCGTTCTGTCACAGAGGCTTGAAATTTTTTCCGACTCTTATATTTCTTACCATGCAAGTTATTTTTTACAAAAGAAACCGTCTATTTGTCAGAAATGGCCTAATCTCGGCTATCGTATGGGTTGATATTGATATCTTTTTGCAGAATGAGCATGGTGACCATCAAAACCCAAGTCCTCTGACTTTTGAGCGTCATTTATTTCAAGTGGATGAAGTATGAGTGCTTCAAATTTATTATATCTGATATGTGTAAGTCTAAGGTAAACGATAATTTAGGGATTTAATAATTATATTATTTTAAAGATATTTATCTATTTTTCTAACTGTAAGTTGGCGATCTTTCATATCAAATTGCTTAACAAAGGACACGTCTCTTTCCCAGTTTGCTTTCACTAGGCAACAGAACAAACATCATTTTTAAACATCTCTCTTCCTTCACTTAAACAATCAATCCAATTAATGACAAAATTTCAGGCAAGTCTTTTGTCTTCATAAACCATGTACAAATTGTTATAAACTTTTGCAAAGGAAATTCCAAGATAAACGTTTAACTTTACAGCCGTTCGTTTCTCAAATAACTGAGTCAACCATTTTTTGTCACAAGTGATCTAACTAATGATGTCATTTTTACATTGTGACGTCACAAACACGAGGCAAAACGTTCTATTACATATGCTATTTATAGAACGTGTATGACTCTATGTGTGCCAAATTTCAATCTGATCTGAATTGTGGTTTTGTAAATATAGAGATAGTTCGCGAACTTTTTGATCACCCCTCGTAAAATGTCTATATTGATATTCAAACAATAGAATTGATGATTCATACACGATAGATATCTCATTCATTTAGAATTATTATTAATTTTAAACATCTAGTCTATATTTAATCCAAATTATTTCCAGAAAGGGAAAATTCATATATCTTCCTATGTAAAACTTTGATTTTTCGTTATGTCCCCGATCTACCTTTGGGGGTCATGATATGAACAAACTTGATTCTACAATATTCAATTTTTTATTAGTCCTCAACAGGTGAAACCGGAGGGAACTATAGCTTTCCTCTCCTCTGTCTGAGTATGGCCCTCGACTATCTACCTGTCTGTCCCTCTGTCATTCTGTTCCACTGCGTTTTTCGCATTTTTTTTTCTAAATGCATCCAAATATAGAGCTAATTTTTAGTATGTGAGTGTATCTTGATGAGTTAAAAAATTAAGTTTGCATTTCCTTCTGCGTAACATTTCAATATTGCGTAACATTACAATTTTAAGGGTTTTCCATATCTTTTTTTTTAAAAAGTCTGCAGATATATGGATGATTTTTAGTATGCGAGTGTATCTTTCCAATTTTCAGTGTTTTTCATTTTTTTTTCTAATGGTTGCAGGTATTGAGGTGAATTTTGGCATGTGACTTTAACTTTATGTGTTATAGACCAGTAGGACTGCATTTTGGCCCGCTTTATTTTTTGTACACAATTATAGCATTTTCAATTTGTTCTCGGGACTTAGTTTACATTTGCCGTTAAGGGACTTGCTTATGCAATACTCTCAGGATGCTTGTTCATATTCAAGTTCAAGCTGGTGTAAATCTTTAAATCACTTATTTAGTTATCAGATAATATCTGTTTGAACATAGTAATAACAACAAATGAAAACCTTGAGAATATCATAGAAAAATAACATTGTTAGACAAATAGTTTTAAAATTTCTTGCCAAAAGAAATCGAATGGCATCAGCAGTGGAACAGGGCATTAATAGTAACAAGAGGCATACATTGTAATAATATTCAAACAAAACTGAAGAAATAGACTTTTGATGTGAATACTTGCAAATGTTATTATACTTTTCAGTTAACATTATTGGTTCATATTTATAACCGTTTTCACATAATAATTCTATTAGAAGTATTTTAGAATTAGAATTTTTTCTCGTTACAGAACAGATTCTAAGGGCCGTGGAAAATTTTACTTTGCCTCTTAATCATATTTTAAATTGATTTTGCTGTGGTAATGTCTTTTGTATTATTAACAAAAAAAAGTCATTACTGTTGCTTCGATATATTCCATACACTAAAAAAGATAATGTGCTTTGAAAATGATTGCTTGAAATTCTATCTTTTGGAAAGATATTTGGTCAAATTTGATTAGTTTATAATTGAAACAATAATACTCAACTATAACCAAATCACTGTCAAATATTTAATCTAAATTAGTATTCACAGTGTAAACAGAAATATTCGACAAACGGTTTAAACAATTATATACACTGTACATACGACTTACTAAATGTCCATGTTGATATTTAAATAACAGAATTGATGATTCATTAATGATCAATACACATATTGTCTATCTAGAATCACAATTAAATAAACCTCTGGTATATATTCAGTCCAAAAGAATTCCAGAAAAGGAAGTAATAAAATCATCTAATAATATGTCCTATAAATGTAAAATCCAAGTTTCAGTATGTGTACATGGATTTTCTCTGGATTGTATTCGTGAGCCTTTGCTTAACAACTTTCTATACAGCTGTATTGTGTAAGTAACGCGTTAGTTAATTTGAATAGCAAAAAAAATATATATTCCAAAATTTGAGGTCCTACATCGTAATGTGAGGAATGATTCAGATTTATCTAACACCCAAAGCCTATAAACAGATTAATACTTAACCAGATTAATACTTAACCAAATTAAAATAAGTTAACAATATACTTTTGAAAGAAGCACTGACTTTCACATTTAACGATTTACTTTGACATTTGAATCCTGTATTAGGTACGCGGTACAGAATTGATATTAGATAAGAAAACATTTCTAGTACTTATAGGTATAGTGTTGGGGTACTACCCTTTGAAGACTGAGAGTTTAGGGTCAGGTAGTAGACGTTTTCTTCAAAAGGACCTTATCTGTGCTTTAAAATAACACATTTTTTCGTTTAATTAAATGTTGAGCTAATAATTGATATCGTAAAAGAGCTTCCTTACATTGTCCCAGTGTAAAAGTAAGCTGTCAACTATAAAATTCAGGGCTCCTTGCTTAAGTCCAATATGTTTGTTTGTTTGTATGTTGTTTAACGTTTCTCTTGAGAAATTTTCACTCATGTGGCCCACTTGCCGTTGGATAGCTGCAAATTTTGTCGTACACTCGACACTTAGGGTCATTGAGCAGGGATGGATCTTTTAAATGTCCAAGTAAACTGTCAACTGTAGAAGTCAGTGCTTCTCGTTAAAGTCCATTTTTACAATAAAAAATGGGAAAGGAAAAACAGTCATTCAAAGACAATTCCCAATAATAACAAGTTTGAAGAAGTGCATTGAATAAGGCGTGACAGTCCACTATACTGCACTCTTCCCCGTTATATATTTTTTCATTGTTTTGTTATGGATATTTGATACTTACATCAATTAACGCTATCGTTTTAATCATTAAAGCTAATCCATGTACGAGTTACGTCACTCTGATGGGTGAAGTCAAGAGATCCTCTGCCTACATTTTACCAAATGCCTCAGCGACTGCCATCTGTGACACTTTCCTTGTGGAGCAATGGTACAGAATAAACAGCACAGTGGGTAACGATATCGTACAGACATGTCAAAATATGACCCACTGTGGCACAATGTTCCCATTGTGGATGAATGGTAAGTCAATTCATGTGAGGAAAGAATAGTTTATTGATAATTTAATTTTTTGTGGTTTTCTTATTATGCCTAATATTATTTTAAATGCAAGTTTAAGGTTAAACAGAATGCAGTTCAAATTTGAATCAAAATATAGACGTTTAACATTACCTATTTACATTTCAAGTAATATTTGAATTCTCCTAGGAACGCTGCCTCTTGTTTCTGACGGTGAAGTGGATCGGATGGTATGTCAAAGTGGTATTTCTGGATGTTGTGAGATTTCACTAACCATAAAAGTGCGTAATTGTGGGACATTTTACATTTACTTTCTCAGAAAACCGTCTGAATGTCCTGTATCTTACTGTTTTGGTAATTATGCAATTTTATAGTATATGTGTATAATACAATGATTTTACAAGAGTTCCGCTTTTTTTTTTAGATACTGAGTCTTTACACTTTCGAGAATTTAGAGAAACAGCAAAATCAATTAAAAAACTCTTTACAGGTACACAGCCTATAAACTCAACAGGTGTTATAACTACTAGTTCACAAACAACAGCTGAAACAACTATAGAAACAACAGATGAAACAAGTATACATGTACATACAACAGATGCCTATACTACTAGTAACCATTAAATTAGATAATGAGAATCTTTAACAACAAACTGTTTTCAGCAAAATTTATTTTTATAACTAAAAGATAGATGAATTTGAAAAAATAAATCAAAATCAATATTTTTGAATATCTAAAAAGGTAAAATACATTTTTAAAAAATCAAGATTTGTCTAATTTTTCTGCTGAGATTACTTGTGACTATTTTTAAACAGACTTTATACCATCGACAACAAAACCAAACGAGTCATCCAAAAGCATTCTAAATGGTAAGTGTTCATAATGATCCATTTATTGAGTGTTATTAATTTAAGCAAAAAGACAAAAAGAACAATGGCGACAAGGTAAACAAATATATTCATAAACTCAAATGTAACTTGGTGGAATTCTATTTTACAATATTTAGAGGGTAAATAATAGAATTAAAATGATTTAAGATGCATAATTACAATGAAAAGACCTGATTGAAGTTAATGCTTAAAACAATACAATAGTTAGTGCGCAGAAATGCATTACCTGGTGCACGTATTACTTTTCTTAATTACCAAAATGAAGGAGATAACTATATCTGCTATTCATAAAGTCAAAGTGAAGTAAAAATAGCAATGTATTATGTGTGCATGTTAATTCTTTGACGATATCAGTTTTAGATGTTCATTCTGACATTATAGATGTAGAGATTGTCGGTATTGTACTTGGAGTTGCGTTTGGATTCCTCCTCTCTGGCATCATTATAGTGTTTTGTATCTGTAGTCATCAGTAAGTTATTGACTTTTTTTTTAATTCTTAACAATATGTTTGCCATACTGTGCATACATGATTGTTCAAGTCTTGTTTAATTTTACATATTTTTGTAACAATCTCAACTTAATGCCATACCAGTATGCAAATACAAATGACAGTGCATTTTGAATTCTCCCCCTTCCTGCTTTTTTAAAAACAATTGTTTATTTAGATTTAAAAGTAAATCGGTAACTAAAATGCTATCCAGTGTTATAACTTTTTGGATTTAAAAGTATATGAACAGTAAATGTGATATCTATAACTCGTTTAAACAAGAGGCCCATGGGCCACATCGCTCACCTGAGCACTGTAGCTTGGAAAAAAGCAGAAATCAGTTAATTATTAAAGTTAAAACCCAAAAGTGGTCCCAACCAATCCTTAAAGGGGAGAGGGTATGATTTGAACAAACTTGAATGTACACTAACTATAAGGATGCTTGCATATTTCTTTGACTACCTGTGGCTTTATTGCCCTTTACATTTGAACTTCCATTGTGGTCCCGCCCTACCCCCAGGGGTCATGACTTGAACAAACTTGAATCTACACTACCTGAGAATGCTTCCATATGAATATGACTAATCATGGCTTTGCCATTCTTGAAAAGAAGATTTTTAAAGAATTTTTCTACATATTTCTATGTAAAACTTGGATTCCATGTTGTGGCCCCGCTCTACACCTAGGGGTCATGATTTGAACAAACTTGAATCTACACTACCTAAGGATGCTTCCATATAAATATGTCTCATCATGGCTTTGCTATTCTTGAGAAGAAGATTTTTCAAGAATTTCCATATAAATTTCTATGTAAACTTTTATCCATCAGTAAAGCCTCACCCTACCCCCGGGTGTCATGATTTGAACAAAACTGAATCTACACTACCTGAGAATGCTTCTATATAAATATGACCATTAATGACTTTGCTATTCTTGAGAAGAAGATTTTTAAAGAATTTCCCAATATATTTCTAAGTAAAACTTTGATCGGCCATTGCGGCGCCGCCCTACCCCTGGAGATCATGATTTGAACAAACTTGAATCTACAATATCTGAGGATGCTTCCATATAAATTTCATCTTTACTGGCACAGTGGTTCTTGAGAAGAAGATTTTAAAAAAATTTCATTTATATTTCTATTTAAACATTTGATCGGCCATTGTAGCCCCGCCCTACAAACTTGAATCTATGCTACCTGAGGATGCTTCCATATAAATTTCATCTTTACTGGCACAGTGCTTCTTGAGAAGAAGATTTTTAATTAAGAATTTTCCTATACATTTCTATGTAAAACTTTTATCGGCTATTGTGGCCCCGCCCTACCCCCGGGGGTCATGATTTGAACAAACTTGAATCAACAATATCTGAGGATGCTTCCATAAACGTTTCCTCTTTCCTGGCACAGTGGTTCTTGAGAAGAAGATTTTTAAAGAATTTTCCTATACACTGTAGACGTACTATTTCCCGCGAGGTCTTAATTCCGCGGAATCTCAATTTCCGATTCATCCGCGGGTAGAAAATTACGCGGATTTCTTAGACTGTCACTATAAGCCCTACATTTATATTAAGTACGCTTGGACAAATTTCCGTGGAAAATTTGTGGCCGCATACATAGCGGAAAATAATACCACGCGGAAAAAAGACATATTACTTCTACAGTATTTCTATGTAAAACTTTGATCGGCCATTGTGGACCCGCCCTATCCCCGGGGGTCATGATTTGAGAAAACTTGAATCTACACTACCTGAGGATGCTTCCATATAAATATGATCATTCATGCCTTCGCTATTCTTGAGAAGAAGATTTTTAAAGAATTTCCCTATATATTTCTATGTAAAATTTTGATCGGGCATTGCGGCCCCTCCCTTATCCCAGGGGTCATGATTTGAGAAAACTTGAATTTACACTACCTGAGAATGCTTCCCTTAAAGTTTCAAGTTTCCTGGCACAGTGGTTCTTGAGAAGAAGATTTTTGAAACTTACCACCAAATTTTCTCTATTTCTGAATTATCTCCCCTTGAATAACGGCGTGGCCCTTCATTTGAACAAAATTGAATACCCTTCACCTAAGGATACTTTGTGGCAAGTTTGGTTGAAATTGGCGCAGTGGTTCTTGAGAAGAAGATGAAAATGTAAAAAGTTTACAACGACAACAACGAAGACGACAGACGACGGACAAATTTTGATCAGAAAAGCTCTCTTGAGCCTTCGGCTCAGGTGAGCTAAAAATGAATAAAAAAAGCAGTAAATATCTATGCTAAAGGTCTGAATACTATTTCCCATAATACGTTTATTCAAACGAAAAAAATATATACAAAAGAATACATGTATTAATCCTTAACTACTTGTATTATTTTCTTTTTTCAGAGAAAAGAAATCAAAGGTTGGATCATCAGACGATGTAGAAATTAAAGTGTCACCAAAGACACCATCCAAAAATGATTCATCAACACCTGGGATTCAAAATCCAGATTTTGCACAAAATAAGGGTAGAGAGAATACAGCATTGTCCATGAATGATGTTCCCCCTAACATAATTCCTACCATAAAACCTAGGACAAAGCGACGAATTAGGGACTAAATACACTGTAGATGAAGCCTCAGTCTGTATGCTTTGATTTGTATGAATTCAGTATTTTTTTTTTTTTTTTTTTGCTACATGTAATTATATGGAATAAAATCTGTGAATGAAAATCCAATTTCAAAGAACTTAGTAAATAAATGAATTTATATATGATTGATTGTATATTGTTTAACGTCCCTCTCGAGAATTTTTTACTCATATGGAGATGCCACCACTTGCTACCCCAATTTTTTTTACCTATACTCGGCACCCATTGAGCAGAGAGGGATCTTTTTCGAGCCAGCACCTACTGCGACCCGGGACCTTGGTTTATACGGTCTAATCCGAAGGACCGGTCTCCAAGTCCTTCGGTGGGATTCGAACCCGAATTCGATGTATGTAACTTGCCCACTTTTCAAATCATACTTATATTTATGCTTCTTGATTGAGGTATGTGAGAAGCAAATGCATAAGAGGATTTCATGATCCTACAGAGTCAAAGCGGTATGGTTTGTTCTGCTATAAATAACTTTTTATTCACGAGAACTTTATTTCTGCGTCACTAAGCGAGACAGCGTGATCGCAAAAACTTCTTTTTCGCATATATAGAGAATACTCTTTACAGTTTTATAGAACAATAACCACAATTCGTGAAAAATTTTTTGTCATGCTAATAAATAGTTACATGTAATGACTATCTCGCGAAAATAAAGTGTCGCAAAAATGTAGTGATCTACAGTAATTTGAAAATAACTTAAATGATATGCGAAATCTTGTTAGATTAACCGTTTTCCTCATAGATTTTGTCCTTATCTTAGATAAAGGTATGGATCTTGTACTTTCAGTATCTAAAATAAAAAGATGTTTTTAGATGAAAATAACATTCAAGACAAATTTGAGAGAAAATGAATTACGCACCCAGTGGGGAAAATGCATTTATTTTAATTTGGGTATGGGAAAATACTAATATGGATAAATGTTGACATAACTTGATGAAAATATCATCAAACGATTACATATCATCACAATCAATTCATGAATAAAGTGGACAGCGTTTCTCAATATAATGAAATTTAATTGTAGTAAAATCACAAATACAATTTAAATTGGTGATGAGAAAATTAATGGAGCTTTACTTTGAAGATATTTCACAAATAGAGATTTGGGTTCACAATATTCATCTTGTAAAATAGGAAAAGACTGACCTAAATATTCAAGCCCATACCAACCATTTATCATTGATATATTAATGTCTAAGTGTAGGGTTAATCTATCCAATTCAGAAATTACATTTAGTACAGCAAAATTAGTTGCAGATTTATACACACCAGGTATTGAATTTAAAAAAATAATCAGTTGACTTTTTTTCACAGATTAAGCAGGAGTAAATTCTGAAAAAAAATATTTAATGCTAGGTTGCTTTTTAAATATATTTTTATTATATATATATATTTTGTAAATGGCTAAAACCCCAAAATTTCATGTACACACAATAAAATAAGTTCAATGATGTTCAAAAATGTGAATATAAGTATAGTTCATGTAGTATGTGACGTAACAGATTGGTGTATTTCATAATTAATAGAACTCGTTCGATTATGACATATTAATTATGCTTTTTTTGCCTGGTATAATTCATTTTCAAATTAACGTTTTATATTTTTGAGACCGATTTCCATGAAATCTAATTAAAATTGCAGCGAGATATTTGATAAACCACAAAGCATATTAATGTAATATATGTGTGAATTTGGTCTTTTTTCCCAAAATGTGTATGCACTAGTCATGCTAGTATTACACAGATTTGTGTTAAAGGGAAATTGGATATCTCAACATCCATCCACGTCCTTAAAATACTCAATGTGCCAACAATTTGCAATAATCTGTTTCAACTCTTTATCTTGCTTAGTCAAACAGTCATCTTATCACGCAGACTGACTTTCACTATATACTTTATGACTGTACAACTTTCCATAAACAAAAGAAATTAGCAAGCTTCATATATTACGTATATAAAAATCATCCTGTGTATACTTTCATTTACTGTCATTGCGACACAAAAGTAAAAGGCGAGAAGTTACATTGATCCATACAGTAGGTCACTTCTGGAGCATCGGGGAGATCAATGCCCGCTGAGTTATCAATCAGCCTGAGTCAGGTACACACATACACAAGTATTCGTAAACAAACAGCTAGACATGAAGTTTTGTTCTCTGTATTCCAATTTGACTTTAAGTTTTATAGTACATTTGATTACTAAGCCCATTGTTTTATTGTCTAAATATATTGTATCAAAACTTTTTCTGTTTTGTTAATAACCATCAGAATACCATCATGTTTTCTCATCATACTGCAGACGCTTTGTAAGGAGGGAATTTCCTGTCTTAAAATTAGAATACATGCACAATTTATGAATGCATATCAAAATCGGTATGATCATTAAGGTAAAAGATGCTTAAGAGGAAATTAAAATGATAGACTAAAGTTGAATACAGAGTGATTGTGAATTATTGTCAAGAATTATAATTTCTTTATACCGGGTAGTAAGATTAATGGGGAAATATTTCCTTATTCGGAATGCTCATTTTCCTTGGTGGTTGTTTGTCAGTTGCACTTCCTGTCTTGGCCCACTGACTTAGGATCGTTGATATAATCAACTCCCAATAAGCACCGGTAAAAATATCCAAGAAACAGTCGATCAATTAGTTTTTTTAATCTCTCGATCATTAATTTACAATTGCATACAAAGATTAAAAGAACAAATGGGTGATAGCAACTAACTAGAATATAAGCATGTTTGAATAATAAAGAACAGTAGAATATTTCAATTCTATAGGTGCAAATTATATATAATTTGAAAAAATTAAGTTGTACTTTTTTGCATTACGGGATCTGTAGCGTTTAATATGGTCAAAGACAAATACAGTGTATATAAAATCATAACTCTACAGATCTGCAGCTAGGATTAAGATATCTAAATATTTATCTCCCTCCCCTAAAAAATTACAAAATTTATGATACGTGCACGCAAAAGCCTCTTTCACACCTATGGTTAATTTTTTTTTTACTTTATGACATTGACGGATACCTGGAAAAAAAAATTAATATCAAGAGTAAGACCCTAATACTAGTAATCTTTATTACTTCCTACATCATGATGAATAATTTACATTAATTTTTTTAATATGAAAAAAAAATTAAATGTCGATTATAACAATTTTGATAAACATTTTTTCAATCAACCTACGAAAATTTCTGCGATCAGTATTATTAAGCCTGTCTCAATAATTATATTTTTGAAAATTTTCCACAACAATATATGGACAAATAGTATCAATTATTTATAACAACTGTTTGAACAATGTGACAGCATTGTTTCCAAGTATATAAAACTTTTATGATAGCAGAGATTAAAGTGGATCCATTTTTAAATAATACGGTTAGAAATCCATACTTTTTTTGATTTTTTCCATCTCAGCACTGTCTTTTCCCTTCTTTTCCTTGTAGTTAGCTTGATCGTTGTTAGCTGGGTTTTTTTTCTGTTCTGGAGTTGATTTCCTGTCTTTAGGAGATCCTTTCTTATAGTGACTATCTCTTTTACTGTCTGTTTTGTTTACTTTCGTATTTTCCACAGATTTCCCCTGATGAACAATTACACCACTGTCAGAAGATGCTTGAGGTGTGCTTCCTCTCCTCTCTGCTGTTGTCTGTTTTTCTCCTGGATCATAACTACCGGAAGAACAAGACACGCAGGAATATATACCTTTATTCAGTACCCGACTATCCAGGTAAAGGGCTGGTCTACTCACTCGCCGTTTACATGAATCACTTTTCTTGCAGTACCCTATACGTCTGAAAAACTCATCTGTCGGCTTTCTCTGGATATCCCAGATGAACTCGGCCCCCTTATGTCGTATTTGTACATACCAACATACATCGACACAGGCTTTTAAATACTGTTCTATTCTCTCATTTTCTTGAATCACAATCTTTCCCTTTCTGGGAAACTTCTGGGAAAAAATAGTGAATAATTTTAAAATAAATAGTGCCTACATGTCGTTCAAACGTGTTTTAGTAGAATATATACAACACAGATAATCTTAATCATCTATTTTAGGCATATATTTTCATTTAACATGTTTAATGCCAGCTGAGTCTTGCTAATTTCTTGTGGTAGTATTTTAATGTTAAAGAAAGGAGCATAAAAAAGAGGGTTATTAGAAAAAAAATGATGAAATAGTGTAAATGCTTAGTAAATAAAATCATTAACAATTGCAATCTCTGATAGAAACAAAAAAAATGCCGGTGTCGTATAGTGAGACTTTCTCCATAGTGAGGCTTCCCCCGGAAGGCTCACTATATAGCGAGTCTTTCCCCCGGAAGGCTGGCTATATAGTGAGCCTTCCCCCCGGAAGAATGGCTATATAGTGAGACTTCCCCCACGGAAGTTTCACTATATAGCCGTTCTTCGGGGGGGAAGGCTCACTTTATAGCCAGCCTTCCCCCATTCATAGCGAGACTTCCCCCTCCTATTATAGTTTCTGGAACATTGTTTTATTATTTTGAAAAATTCTAACAATGTTAATTTATGACAAAATTATCTTCCATATATATACATGTATTTATATATTTATTTTATATGCATGAACAGTTTGAATATCGTTTTAACTGTTTGATATCCATTATAACATATGCATGTACATTGAGATGATATAATATATATATAATATGTATACCCTTTCCTTTACATGTATTGATAACGAATAATTTTATTAGTTCACAGTCACTTATATGAAATGTTCTGATTGTTTTCAGCATTTGAATAAAAAAAATTGATAGCATAGTTTTGTTTGTTTGTTTTTCTGTTTGTGTACAAACATTAGCTATTTACACATTAGATATGGTTCAACCGATTTAATAAAAAAAAATGTAGCGAAAATAAAAAAATTATAGTACTTTAAGACTATGCGAGAAATAAAATAATTGTGCTCGAATGTGAAAAATAAAACAAGCATTCCAAATCTCAATTATGATTTTCTTAGTTCCTAACTATATTTATCGAAAGTTTCATGTACTTAAAGTTTAAATCTACTTTTGACTTCATAGATCAGTGGTTCGACAAAAATTTACACTACAGCACATAAATCTCAGGTTTTTATGAAAGGTCCGTAACTGATCATGATTCAATTTGCTGAAATCACGAGAGAGTCAGTGATTTGAGCGCCGTGGTCGTTTTTCTCCAGTTGACGAAAACCAGTATGCACGCATTTTATAAAACAAACTTTAAAATTATTACAACTTAATATATTAAATATAAGCAGATAAAACCGTTTAATTGACAACAAAAAATATTGGAAAAGTAATAGTTCACCGATTTTCTTGAAATATATATTATTTAACTCAGGATCAGAGGCGCTTAGATTTATTTTTATTAAACACATATATTTCAGATCATATACGTAATTTTATTTAACCTAACTGAGGAATTTAAAATTTACAAAAAATACAATATAGGAATGACTAAAATATACATGTTTAATATGCGACAAAACAGATCTACACACTAAAGTTGACAATTAGCCATCTCCGACTTTAGTGCAAAATAGTTTAGTCAAATAAGTGACAATTGCAATGCAGTATATATATATTTTTAATTTTACGTATTTTTTATACGTGTATTCAAACATCCAATCGTCCAGACCCAGTTTAATAAAATATCTTTCAATAAATAATTTTTAAAACACGACCAAAATGAAAAAAATAATTGTATGAATTGATGTATGGGTGTGATGAGCAGGGGATGCACACATTTTCATGCAATTTTTCCGGTCATAAATTTAAACAAAAAAAGGAGGGGGCTAAGCCCAATCCATGCATCCAGTGCCTTTGCAAAATACTAGTATGCATGACAGTCAGAATTTGATTTAAAGTGTATTAGAACTCAAATCCATCTTATTTGATTTTATAGTGATGTAATTTCATTTATATGACGCAAATTTAATTTCAAAATGAAATACAAATCCTAAAAATACTTCATAAAATTTATAAAAGTTAAAAGGTCCCTAAAGCATACAATAAATATTTAATTATGTCAATGTATTTAAACTCCAAACCGAAAACCGAAGGGGGAAGACTTACTATGGACAGTATGGGGGGAAGTCTCACTATATACCCATATCCCCCCCCAGGGGGAAGACTCACTATATAGTCAGACTTCCGGGGGGGGGGGGGGAAGTCTCACTATGGCGGAAGTCTCACTATATGACACCGGTATAGATACACTGACGTAAATACGATATAGTGTTCAGACAATCAAAGATATTGTTACATGTATCTTTAAAAAGTCTATAAATCAATTATTTTATAGACAATAAAAAAAACCCGTTACCTGAACTAAGTACTGTGTAACATCAGAATCCAATTCCTCCTGAAAAACTCTTGCTGCTTCGGTCTGGTCTTTGGGTAAATTGTTCGCCTGCCCAAAGATAAATATACACTGTATGTTTTGTTGGGTTTTTTCCTGTGTTTTTCAATGGATTTCAATGTACGGAGAAAAAAAAAACCTAATATAAAACTAAGATGATAAAATAGTTTACTTACCTCTGGACAATAGCTCAGTGCTTTACCCAATTCTTTCTGTTGCTTGTCATATTCTTTGCAACAGAAGTTGAATGCCGTCTGAAAAACAAAATCCACGTTACTGACATTTCTTTACTTGGGAAAATTCAAATTAAAATTTCTCATGTTTTAGAGGTCCATGTCTCCTCTGCTTCTGATTCGTTTGGTTAATGAACTTTTAAGCTTGATTACTGATCTTATTTCCATGATACATGTACATGTATATTTTTCTTGTTAAAAAAAAATGATGCCATATTTTCTCATAAAAAAAAATTCCATTTACAGTTCTATTATTCAACAGTAATTATTGTTTTGTTTTTTTTTTTTAATTTTAAAATCAAATAGATATTAATTACAAATATTTAATTTTAGCTATTTTTTTTTTACTTTATTATGATCAAGAAAAAGAAATTTAAATCAAGTTTCGGAATATAAAATTACATCAGCGATGTGTCTGAGGTAGTTGGACTCTTCTTCAGGGATAATGGCAGTGTCTGGCGTCTTAGTATTTTCATGTTTTGGTTGTAACTCGCCCACTACTGCGCCTCTTCTGAGGTCAAACTCTTTCCAGAGTTTATCTCCGGTGCTGCCATCTGTTGGAACGACGTTACCTGGTCCAGTGTTGTTTGTATTATTTTGCAGATTCTTCAATCTAACGTCATGTTGAAAAAAATCGCATTAGTCATCGGAATAAAAAAAAAAGCTTCAAATGTACTTTTAAAAAAATATATTGTCCTTACATGTATGATAATAATTAAAGTATGTAGCATTTAACCTAATCGTATGCACGCAATGAAGAAAAAATATATTTAGTATTAATGATGAGTGAAGAAAAATAAGTATATTCGCAATGTATCGCATTTTTATTACAATTTTTCTATACAAAAATACATTTTGATGAAATTTATATAAATAATTACACATAAAATGAAATAGACCATATTTAACATGAAGTAATTTTTATAAAAGACGCATATTCTTTCTAAAGGAGTTTAACAGGTATTTTTTAAAAATTTATTTGTAATTTCAAAACAGTGATATGTTATGACTTTTTAAGGTAAATATATAAAATATCGAAGAGCAGTACAACATTATTATACGGTTATTGACTGGGTATGAGGGCAACATATGATTTGTTCGACCTGAAGGTGAAAATAATGCCCGAGGCCGCAGGCCATTTGTTGGACCTGAAGGTGAAAATGTTGCCCTTAAGGGCAACATTTTCACCTTCAGGTCCAACAAATCATATGTTGCCCGAATCCCAGTCTAAAACTGGTTTGTGATACCCTTCTCTCAAGATTTAATTAATACACACTGTATTATCAATTACTTTTATACATGGAATATTATAGCTCAAAGGTACTTGGACACATGCAGATTTGAAGTTATTTTCTCTGTAATATTACGACTTGTATATTTTAATAGCATTTCACACAAAATTTTATTCAAAATCTTATTTCATATAAAAGATATTAAAAATTCAAATTTTTTGGCGGGTTTGATTGACACATCCTAGCACTTTCACAAATTAATTTTATTCTTAATCCTTATGAAAATTGGCAATCTCGTTGTGTATAAATGAAAAATATTGATACTTTAATCCAGAAAATTCAGAGTAGACATGTTCAAAAGCAAAACAAACACACAATATATTGTCAGTCCTTGCAGTTGTAGTAAGCAGACTGTGACGATTGAACGCACCCGGTGAATTGTAAATATAAACAATAACAGAACTTGAGCCCCGTTTACAAAAACTGTGTACATAACACAAGTGTGCTCGATTGCTAAACTCTGTAAGCAACCCTTAGTTCGGAATGACGATACTTAATTGTGATGGAGTTTTGCTTTCTAACATTTGTACTCGGAATAAAACTATTTTCTGGATAAAAGTTTTAATATTTCTCATTAATACACAACAAGATTGCCACTTTTCTTAAGGATTAAGAATAAGGTTAAAATTTGTGAAAGTGCAAGGATGTGTCAATCAAACCCGCCAAAAAATATGAAGTTTTAATAACTTTCAAATGAAATAAGATTTTGAATTAATTTTTGTGTGAAATGCTATTAAAATATATATGTCGTAATATTATAGAAAAAATATTGATTTCAAATCTGTGTCCAAGTACCTTTAATCAGTAAATATAGAACAAAATTAACTATATTTGTGTCATATCACAAAAATTATTTATCACAAAACACATTCTTCCCTTCTTCCTTACCTTGCTGGTAGCAACAACTCTTGCAGCTCTTAACCTCGGCTATTTTCGTGTCGCCGATTTCGAACGATGATTAATTACTTGTGACATAGCAGTGACGTTGCGGTCTAACAATTCTTATGTTGGACCGGCAGGCCAGTCAACATTGAAATGGTTAGACTGCTGTAATTTCTTAAGTTGGACTTTTTCTTAGTAATAGATATATAGAAAGCTATTTATAAGGGTATAACAAAACGTTTTGTTTCTGTGTCCTGTATTAATCTCATATGTATAAGATGGAGGGCTCAGGTGGTAAAGGATGTTTAATTACATGAATGGAGTAAATGCATATACTGTCTGAATATGTATGGCAAAGAATATAGTTGGAATTGCATAAAGCATTATTAATTATGGATAAAAACTATTTATAAGTAGCTGAATGATAAACTTTTCAAACCTTTCCTGTACTTTTTTCACGTGTGAATCTTCCTGTTCTATTTTCTGTCGAACTTCTTCGTTTTCTCTGTCCTTATGTTCAGAAAAAATGATAAAAATAAAATTGACCAATTAAAAAAATCATTCTTGATGCTATGCACTATAGTTTGAGTATATCTGCATTACCTTATTTATTTTTTAAACATTTTTATTGAATTTAAATGAACTGAAATCAAGTTCTAACAATTTCATTTGTTCCTCTCTTTATATAAACATCATGTTAAAGGGTGTAGTTGAAAAATATATATCCGTATTATTATATACGAATCAAGCATATTTCACTTTGAAACAATCAAGTGTAACATCTTGCATATAGGTGAAATTGTCTTTGATGATTTTGCCCCAAACTTTTCTCTTATGAGAAGTCGATGTTTCGTTTTCACCCCACCCCCTCTTTCAATTAAGTACATTGTATTATATTAAAACGACTCAATGGAGAAGAGTTCCGTCGTCGTTACACCGGCTTACGTGTATTCATGAAATACATGTTCATATATATACGTATGTTTCCTTTTTATGTCTTTGAATTAATTTAATTCAATTTAATTTTTTGACCAATTAAGGGTCCTCATGGGACAAAGAGAAAGTACAAATTGTATATAATGATTAATGATATACATGTGTAGTGTGCGTGTACGAAATACAATAATTCAATATAACTGTGGTACAGACGAGAGAAAAGAGTTGTGCGATTGTTGAGAAAGACACACAAACAGGGGTGATTTTTACATATACATTAACATAAGTTCCGAGTAAAAATCATGTATTTGTTTTATATCCAAAACATAATTAATTCAATGATGTATTTTCCAGTACCTTTTATGTCTTTATAACATAACTAATTCAGCGACCATCGCTTTTAACCAGCACAAAATAAATAACATTTTGCCATTACTTTAACAGTTTAAGCTTCCTGGTTACCCCTACAATCAGGATTTCGCACCTGTTTGCTAGGAACCCTAACTAGGTTAACAAGTTAACAAAATGTATATATACTTACCAGTATTTGTGTGATAAGCGTTGTTATTTGTGTCAATTTATCCTCTGAATGTACATTAGGTTGATTAAATTGGTCTAATGCCTGCTTTAGTGTCCCCATATTATTATTTTTTACTTTCGATTTGCACAGTATTAAATCCCCGGGAAAATGCAATGCTTATCGACAACTCGGACACAATTTTAGAATTTAAACCGACACCTAAGTGAGTGCGGATCCAATTTTTCCAAACGGATTCGGAAGAAGGGGGGGGGGTCTATACAACCGATTAAGAAAAAAAAAATATAAATCCAAATACATTTCTATGTAGTTTAGTTTTAAGATGATTTGTTTTCTAAAAAAATAATGATAATAAAAATATTGAAACCCATCCTCATAGAGCGAGATTTATTTGATAAATATCTATTATTAGGCTAAGAGAGTGGAAAAGAAATGTATGTTTCCAGGCACCAAAAGCCGTGCAATATACTAAATTTTCATAATTGTTTGGATTTTAAAATAAATCACAAATCAATTTTTTGATTTAAAAAAATGTCCCTGAATTCCATTTAAATTTTATTGTCTTTTTTTTTTTTTTTTTTTTTTTTTTTTTTGTAACGATCATTTATTTTTCACCAAAGTGATTATGATTGATTTAATACATGTTGAGAAATGGTAAAATTGGGTAAAAGGAAGAATACAATACAAATTTTTTCGATTTTTTTTTTGTTGTTATAACTGTTTGTTGTATTTTGTCTATTTATTAATTTAACTACACTATAACATAGATTTTAAATATTTGATAATCAAAGGAAATGTTAACTGCTTTGATTGAAGAATTCAAATTCGTACAATTACATGTAATTTAATACATCTAAAATACTTTTATAAAGTACACTATTTTAATTAAAATATCTAATGAGTATTTACGAGTAGTATACTTATAATATATAATATAATAATATAATATATAATACTTATAATACATATTAATATAACTAGTATACTTATTCTTCACTGTTAATTTTTAGCCCCAATGTACGTTCTGCTTTTACTCCAGCCTGGGTCATCTCTGCCAATGGTAAGACGGAGCACCCCAAATATATATGTTAGAGGGATCCTAAATTCGATTCCACAGCAAGTTGATGGGGTGTCGTGAAATAGTACTAGTATATTGTTTTCTTTTAATACAAATATCCCTACTACCAGGGACCTATATACTAGTATATAGGTCACTGCTACTACAGATGTGGCCTTTTTTCTCTACCCACAGAAAAGGCACAGATGACTAGGGCCTGTCCCCCTATCCTTCTCACCGACTTCTTCTTCTCCTTCTTCTTCTTCCATACGAGTTTACTCTAGCTATCTAGCGTTGTACTTGGGTTGTGACACGCGACGGACAAGGTTAAAAACCCGATCAGGGCACTGTGTACAATAAAAAGTTTAAAACTGGTACCCTTAGTTGGTGTTTGTGGGTAGCTGGCACCTCGTATATGAGTCCAGCTGTGTCCGGACTCCGGAAGGACTCGAACGTACGTTGGTGCTGAGGCAACTACAGGTGATAAGTGGTTCCAGTCTAGCATTGTCCTCGGAAAGAAGAAATATCGATGTGCATCAATCCGGGTGTGTGGTAGACGGTACGTGTAGCTGCCTCTAGTCCTTCTATCACTGATGTCAGGTACATATCTGCAGGAATAGCCACCAACTTCATGACCAAGGCATGCTCGATCTTGACAACTGATTCACTCTGGACTTAATGGTATTTAATTCTAACTGCCAGAGACTCTTTGTAGATTTGTTTCTCGTTTTCTTTCATAAATAATTCTTCTATACCACCTTTATATGTCATAATGGATTCCATATGGAAAAACAAAACTATTCAATGGATGGAATATGTATCAAGGAACGACTTGATTTTAGAACTTCGTGTAATTTATTCGTTGTACGACTTGTCTAAAATCTATCATGTTTTGATTTTCATTCCACACGTGGAAAAAGGTAAATTTAATAGAGAATTTATAAACTAAAAATTGTTTCTTTTGCAATAATTTTTATAGTTACATTTATTGGAAGGTAGGAATTTTGAATATGAATAAAACACGGCTTTGAATTTTATGTTAAAATTGACATAAATATGTGCGGACTAAACTATCTTGGACAGAATTTACTCATCACATAATCATTAGATAAATAATACACCGTGACCATGCATAAATTGTTAAATTATTTATAACAATTAAATGATGACAGTGAAAACAAAAGTATGCATTGAAGGCAAATATTTTTTGGTTAATTGTCAACTCGATTCTTTATTCTCTTTAACAGGTCCGGCACAATGTCTTGATTAAGCTATATAGCTTGATTTAGCTATATAGCTTAATTAAGCTATTCGGAATAGCTTAATTAAGCTATTTTATCACAATTTTTTCTCAAATGTTTTATTTTTTCAGCATGCGCTAAAAGTTGCACCTTGGTGCAGTGGAAATATTAAACTTTGAACTCTTTTGAATACAATGCATGTAAAAATCACTCACCAAATTGTGTCTCCGTGAGAGACTTTGTACTCAAATTTTTAAAAGTTTGGGGGCTATTGATGAGTGACCACACAGTTATTTCTTGAATGAAATTATAAAGGAGGTCACAAGATAATTGATTGGTAACAGTTCAACACAATGAGAAGCAATCATACTTATCCACGCCTCACCGCACTCAATAGGACACTTTCCCCTAGTACAGTTACCCAAACAATGGAAATTCATCTTCTGCTTAAAAGTATTCAACAACAGCAATGTTAGAACTTTCTATGATTTAGGTTGTTTTTTTGAAAGCCCAAAGTACATATATGAATAGTCAAATACTTGCGACTTTTTGTTTATTTCTCAATAAAAACGTTTTTGTTAAAAACTGCATATAAATAGCTTTATTAAGCTATTTTAACTAGCTTAATAAAGCTATATAGCTTTATAAAGCTATATGGCTTAATCAAGACATTGTGCTGGACCTGTTTAAAGAAGTGGACAGGCTTTCGCCTGTGGATGTAGGCTAAAACCTGTCCACTTCTCTGAAGAGAATAAATTCTTTATATAAACAAATATATATCAGCAATAATGCATCAGGCGTGTAGAATCTCTCGACAGCTGTGATCAAGAACATATAAGGTCTGAATAACCATTGAATTTTCCAAATTTTGCTTTAAGAACTGTTTTTGTTTGGTAAGACATTATCTATATGGTCTATTAAAGTCATGTACATAACAAAATATAAATCTAATTTACTCAATAAATAGCACGGCATGTGGTAAAGACATTTTTTGTAAATATATATTTCGCTGGCAGGTTACAACAGGCCTATTTTAATATGTAGTCCTATTACAATTTCATAATAATTGGGACTCTTCAGTTTTTCAAGCTAAATGAATAACTGAAGAAAAATCTATAGTATAATAACCAAAGCCATACATAATATATTCTCAATCAATATAACGGCATTGAGCATGTTGAGCAACACAGCTGTAAAACTAAAAGTAATGTACATTTTTCCTCTTCCCAAATACAAAGAATTGCTCAGAGTCAGACTAATGGAGACTACAAAATCAAATGGTGTGGTGAAAGAAGGGATTGATGGTGAAAATTCCAAGTTGGGCAAAGAAAACTCTAAGCAAACAAAAAAGTCCATAAAAAAATTTCGTAAAAAACTTATTGAAGACTTTCAAAAGAGGAAGGCCCAGTTTAAGCTGCGAAAAAAGAAGAGGAAACAAAGAAAGGATGGGACCTGTGAGGAACAGGAAACAGAATCTAAAGACATCAGTGACAACAAACAACCATCATGTAAAGTAAAAGACAAACAACCGTCAGATACAGTCGGAAACAAACAACCAACAGAGAAAGTGAAAAACAAACTGAAAAGTAAAGTACAGAAAGATGGACCTCATAAAGATGTTAAAAGACTTCAACACGGCCCAAGGAAGGACTCTAAAGCATCCAAAAAAGACAGCAATGTGAATAAGAAATCACACAAAGGACCTAGAGAATTTAGAAAAGTATGACTTATAAATGTCATTTGCAAGTTTGAATAAAACTTCGAGAAAATGAAATAATATGCTACAAACTTCTTTTCAGAGACTTTTCAATTGCATGTATCATGATTTATATATCATATTTATTCTAAACTATTTAGCTTAGTTTAATTTTTCTATAATTTCATGCATAATGTTTTATTTTATATTTTCACTTTTTGTTTGATTAATTTCTTTTTTAAAAATATATATTGTGAGTATAATAATTTATCTTTATACAGGATGAATACCCAGGAGATGCACCTGTATCCAAAAACTTAATGTCAAAATATCAGAGAGGAAAACAGATGCAAACAGTAAATCCATTTACAGATCCTTTACAACATCAACTTAATAATTTATTAATTTTATCATAGCTATAAAAAAGACATGTTAATATGAATGTATCTGCAAACAAGAGAAAAAAATTAACCAAATGTTTATTTAAAAAACAATAACTTGTCAATTTAGAAAGGAACACGTACCTTCCATGGACATGTTAAACTCGTTCAAAATGAAAAGAAATTAAAAATGGCAGTAAAACAGGCAGCTCGATCAGAACGCCTCTTACAAGAAGAACCCGGGTAAGTTTTTACATAATCAGATTACCTTTTTTGTTTGGCTATAAGATTGTCTTTTGTAAATGCATCTTACAAAGAGAGCTACATGTACATGTATAGGGAAAGTTTTACATTCTGACAGAAATTATTTGTGATGAAGATTGTGATAGAAATGACTTGATTTAAACAGAGAGGATATTAATTCACAGGAGGAATAATGATAACTTTTTTCTTTCAGTTTTCTGATACCGGAGGATGGAGAGAGCACCACTAATGTCAGTCAGTCTGACATTGTCCAGTCAGTAGACATAACAACAGCTCAGAAAGTCAGTATACTAATACACTGTAGTAACTTAATTAATGTCTTCATTTTATTGATCTAAATTTCTATAATACTAGAACTACTGGTATGCACTAGATTAACAGTCAAACCTGTCTAATCAAAATCTGTTCAATCCGCCACACTGTGACTTCTGATGTTAAATTTCTTTCCCATTTTACTTTTTTCCATGATTATTTACACTTCACAATTCGACACCTTGTCTATTTTGACATAAAATTCATCTCCCAGTTTATGTTGGATAGGA